TGCAATCTAATTATTACTTTCAGTGCTTGAATCTTGATACTTGACCAAACCTGAAAAATTATTCAGTTATTGTTGGATTTCTTCACTATGTTTCATTTAGCTTTTTTCATCCTCTGTAATGTCCAATCCAGGCAGAGAAGGTTTTCAATCAAGACTTGTATTTCAAGAAAACTGTCAAATATGTTGGAGAGCCAATGACCCACCTTGAATCCATTGCTTCATCTGCGGTATTGCTTGCTTTCATAACCTTTTTTCTTTAACAACTTCATTGTGAGAACATTCTGTAGGTTTTGTTGAAGCATTTCCACGTTTCTGATTGCATTTCGTATCGGTATTTTTCAATTAACTAGGTACGAGCAGCCATCAAGGTGAAGTCATCCGTCATCATATGCTTCACTTCTTCAGGAAGGGCTGCAAGGTATCTTTCATTTATGCATCTTTGTTTTCTAGTGTGCCAATTGATTTAGCAAAGCATCGGTTTAGAATTTATATCAGATATATAATTTCATATCATCTATTGAGTGTGCAATGCTTAATACGTTAAAATTGCAGATTGATTGCCAAGTACAGGCCAACAATGCCAGTTCTGTCTGTTGTCATCCCTCGACTTAAGACAAATCAATTGAAATGGAGCTTTAGTGGGGCCTTTGAGGTATGTTCTTGATTCAAATTTACTTTTTTGGCTTAATGAAGTTTATTGGGGTTATATTTCTATGAAATGCTTTTCAACCATCATTAATTTCCCCAAATTCATTTCTGGACATGACAAGAAATCCCTGCAAATACGGCCACTCAATTCATGACCTGTAAAAAAAATTGAAAGGGAAACATGGCCACTAAGTTTGTTGGGTTTATATTTCTATGAAATGCTTTTCAACCCTCAATAATTTCCCCAAATTCATTTCTGGACATGACAAGAAATCCCTGCAAATATGGCCACTCAATTCATTACTAGTAAATTTTTTTGAAAGGGATGGTGGCTGCCTGATATCCTACTAAACATATGGATTGATTTCCTGAAACAACCTGTCAATAATTATAGCAATAGCTTGTCAGCTTCTTTACCCCCCTCTCTGGCATGTTAAATGAAAAGTTGAATTTCACATTGCTTATGACATCTTGTTCTGATTAAGCATTGTGCACTTCGGTTTCTCATATTAGCTTCAACTCATTTAGATGGATTTAAAGCACAGGATTGTTTTCTTTTGTCAGGACCAACTACAATCCTCCTTATTTTAATTATATGGAGGAGATAGTATTCCCTTGATGTGATTCACTGTAGTAGCCATTTTGGAATATGAAAATCAAGGATTTTTGTTTAACCACTTTGTGTTTTGTTCCATTGAGAAATGTCAATTGTGCTTTGCCTGTTTCCAACTGATTTGGAAAATCTGGAGTTTTATTATACTCTGCAATTTATTTATGTATTTTTTACTTGCATGCCCTTGACATTAAATTTAATGAAACTTTGCTATCTTCATATCAATTTCCAGGCAAGGCAATCGCTCATTGTCAGAGGTCTCTTTCCTATGCTTGCTGATCCACGACATCCTGTAAGTACCTTTTTTCATTAATTCTGACATTCACTTTGGTTTGCTTGAGGAGCAGAGGGTATATTTTTCTGCACATGTTCAGGTTTTGCTCCACGTGCATGGTAAACATTTAATGTGTCTTTTGTAGATTGTAACTGCAGTGGCTAGCATAGGTTGACTGCTTATGGCGTGGCTAGGACTGATCATGTTATGGTGTTTGATCATCTATGTCACAATATAAGAGCTAGGATAATCTAATACGTTGTGAAACCACTCCTGGGGCTAGGGTGGGATTTCCATTCCCAGTCCTTGGTGTGAATAAATGAAACCAGATTAGGGCTTGTGGCATGTGCTGTTCCTGGCTTTCAGATTTGGTTTTTTGCTTATGGCGTGTGCTGTTCCTGGCATTCAGATTAGGGTTTTGCTTGTGGCATGTGCTGTTCCTGGCATTATCTTGTTATAACTTGGTATTGGCTCTGGATTGAGAGTACTACCACAGTATGTTGAACAGATGGATTGTAATGTGACCCCTTTCTAGGTTCAAATCTTGCGGACCCTAGTCCTTCATGTCATGTCATTAGAACAATGCAGTTCACAAACAGATTTGTCCTTTTTTTTTTTTTTTTTTTTTTTTTTTGGGGGGGGGGGGGGG